CGTGATCTAAGCATGCGATCTGCGATCTGGACACGCGATCGAAGAGCTCTGATGTGTGCGATCTGATCACGCCATCTAAGAGCTCTGATACGTGTAATATGCGATCTAACCACGCCATCTGAGAGCTCTAATGCATGCAATTTACGATCTGACCATGTGATTTGAGAGCTCTGATGCATGTGATCTGATCACGCCATCTGAGAGCTAGAGACCTGAGCGATCTGAACGCGTGATCTCAACAATCTTAAACGTGCGATTTGGATGATCTGAGTGTGCGATCTACGATCTGGCGACGCGATCTGAGAGCTCTGATGCGTATGATCTAATCACGCCATTTAAGAGCTAGAGATCTGAACGATTTGAGCGCATGATCTCAGCGATCTTGAATGCGCAATCTGAGCGTGCGATCTGCGATCTGGACACACGATCGGAGAGCTCTGATGCATGAGATTTGACCACGTTATCTGAGAGCTATGATGCGTGCAATCTGACCATGCCATCTGAGAGTTCTGATGCGTGCGATCTGACCACGCCATCTGAGAACTCTGATACATGCGATCTATGATCTAGCCACACCATTTGAGAGCTCTGATGCGTGCGATCTGATCACATTATCTGAGAGCTTTGATGCGTACGATCTGTGATCTGACCACGCCATCTAAGAGCTCTAATGCGCGTGATTTGCGATCTGACCACGCCATCGGGGAGCTTGGATGCAGGTTTGAGACTTGCATGGGCCACCAAACTATTAATGCTAGATTTTGACACCAACGACTCGCACGTGCAAATTGCTAAGAGAGTCTTAGAAATTACACATGATGAATTCATGAGATCTGAATCTGGTGCTGAGATTATATATGTTGTAAAAACATAAATAAAAGATTGGCAATAAAGGTTTTTAAAGTGGTTCAGATGCTTAAAACGAATTCTACATTCACTGTTACTTTGCTATTCTCTGACTATTTCTATGATATTGCATGTAAGGTATGCAAAGATGGAGAAATACTTTGTTTACAGAGAAAAATAAGCTCTTATATGCCTAGCTTTCATATGCCTATCCTCTCCTTTTACGAAGAGAGGTGCCCATTTATACACTTTTGGAGTCAATATAATGAGTGCTTTTGCAAGTTACCTTGACATATGAAGAGCTCTAATTCATCCTTATCTTAAAATGAGATAGAGTTGGTATAAAGTATCTTTGAGATGGTATGAGCTTAATAGTTAATACATTTTATCTTTTAGACACTTATTGAGCTGATATTAACTTGATTTTTTAGGCATAACAATATCTAATCATTTTTATGAAAGGGTAATGTAGATGTAGCTTTATTTTCAACTCAATATCATAATAAATCTAGTGTGAACGTAAAATACAAAGGCTCGCATTGATTGGGCAAGCAATAGTAATTGAATTTGACTAAGTAACATATTGGATTGGCATTTGGTCTCACTAATTTGACAATTTCATGGTAAGGTCCAATGTTTAGTTTGAGTCGGTACCTACCATGTACAGCAAAATTTACTAGAATTTTAAAAGTCCTTATCTGTAAAAACCTTTTTAATTTATTTGTTCAAGTAGAGTTGGTCAAATTACAAGAAATTTTGAGATTCCGAGAACTTCCCAACCTATTCCCTTCGGTCCATCTCACAATAACTTGTCCAATACGCACCTTTTAAATACTTGTGACTGGGTTTGTTTAAATTTTTAAACACTATCTTATCCTATCTAACCTAATGAAATAATTACTTTTCTGTTCAATTCAAAATACAATCTTATTTTATTCAAACTCAAAAATATTTAATAATTACTTTCTTAATAAAAAGTTTATAAATTAACAAAAACACTCCTACCCATCCATCTATTGTCCGCAGTCTGCCATCACTGTCGAACGGTAGTTGAAAGTCGTCAAAATGGTACACGACCGGTTAGATTCCACCGATTGTGCATCGATATGACCGTTTCTAACAAGATCTACCATGAATTTGGCTAGAAACTGCTAGATTTGGCTTGTCGTGCTCTAATCTGACATTTTTCAGCAAGATATATGGTCAAAGATCTGGCCGTTAACGATGACCATAAATCTATGACCAAAGATCTGGTCGAAAAATGTCAGATTAGTGCACGACTGGCTAGATCCAGTCGGTCATATGCCATTTTAACGACTTCGATCACTGTTCAACAGTGGTGGTCGGCCACCAGCTATAGACAGGTGGGTAGGGGTGTTTTTGTTAATTTATAAACTTTTATTGTGGGGGGTGTTTAGTTAAATTAACAAATATAGATGTTAAAAAAATAATATAAATATTTTTCAAAACACATTCTCAAAATCTTATCTTATTATAGTGTCTTATTATAGAATACTATCCTCAAAACTTAAACAAAGGCAGCCACATTTTTTTGGTTCAATTTTATTTAAATTAAGATTAATACAAAATCAAATATTTAAGGGCAACATCCAGGTTATTTCCTAATTGCCCTACTTCCATCTTTATCATCAGATTATTATTATTATTATTTAAAAAAGTATTACACATTGTTTAATATTATCATGATTTACCCATAATATTATTGGCTAATAACATATTAACATATCAATTACCATATAATAATAATATTTATAACACTAATTAATAAATAGATCATAAATGCTATTCAAATAATATGCCCTAAGATTGGATTATCCACTGAACACAGATTAGGATCCACTAATAGGATCCACTATTCTAGTTGCCGAACAATGCCTTATTCATAACAGGTGTCATTCTCCTACACAAACAGAATCTAAACATGTTTTGGCTGTCACAATATCAATTAGACCCAAAATAAAAGGGAGAACCACACTTTCCTATTATTCTTTTTCCGTTAATATTTTACTAAAAAGATGAAATTACCCTTAAACATTTTACTTTATAATTTTTTTTGTTTTTTAATTAACTAAAAAGTCAAATATTAAAAAGTCAAAAAAGAAAAATTAATTAACCACACTTAAAAAGTTAGGAGTAATACTTTAAAATTTTTTTGAGTTAAATAACTTTAATATTTATTTATTTATAATGTCATCAATATCCCATCACTATTATTTAATAATCTACTAAATTTATAATTTTTTTTCATTTTTATTAATTAATGTAAAAAAATCAATATTTCTAATTAATTTAATAAACAAAGAAAAAAAGTATCTTTACACTTGGACTAATAAATAATCAAATAAAGAGTTTGACTTAACTAAATTTTAATTTATAATAAAATAATTAATGAATAAACTATTTTAGGGTATTTTTGTCTTTTCAGTATAATATTAATAGATAACACTAACAAAACTTAACGAAGGATGAGAAAATATTATTTTGAAACTTAACGAATGAAAAAGTGTCATTTCATCAAACCTTGGGTGATAATATGTTGTTCTCCCAAAATAAAACCCTAAACTATGCAATTAATTTGTAATCTTCCAAAATTGAAACTAATAATCCACCTTAATCTCCGTCAACCTAGTAAAATTATTAATTAGTCCCCAAGCTCCAATAACATTAATTATGAGTTGACATAGACCCCTAGAGTTTGATATAGTAACAAAATTCTCCTAAAGTTTTTGAAATTACAAAAATCCTTTATTATCAGTGAACTGTTAATAAATCATTAGAATTTGTATTATTATGAGTTAATAAAATATGAGTTGTTTTAACGTGTGCTTATAGGGCATGTGTTAAAGATAGTAGAAGAAAAAGTATTTAGCATTTGGTTGCAATGAAAATTATTGGATGCGTTTGGTTTATTATTTTGGATAGGATTTTAGGGATAGTATTAGATTGTTGGATAGGGGAGTATTACGAGGTAAACTTTAAAAATTTATGAAAAAACCTTTAGGTTTACTAATTTAATTAAAGACCCTAATATATAAAATGACAAAAAGACCCCTACCATCTACAATGCCAAATTCCGGCCACCACTGCTGGAATCGGGCTGAAAAATTTCGTTACGAAATAGACCGGTTGGATCTGTGCCGTAACGCGTGGTTATGGCATTTTTCGGTTAGATCCACTACGGATCTGACCGAAAAAGGCCAGATCTACGAACTGTTGTGGTTGCGACGGTCGAAAAAGGCTGAAACGACAGCCATACGAGAAGGCCGGAAAAAGCTGAAACGACGGCTATATGCGACGGCTGGAAAAGGCTGAAACGACGACGGCCAAAGATATGGCCGTCGTTGATGGCAGATCTGGCCATTACCAGCTATTTCCGGTGGCTGTGTGACTATTGTGATAGATTTCGGCTACCACCGGCGGTGATTGCCGGAATTTGGCAGGTATTGGTGGGTGGGGGTGTTTTTTTTAGTTTTTAAACTTTTTTTCTAGGGGTATTTAATGAAATTAGTAAACTTATAGGGTCTCAACGTAATTAAAAAAATAGACTAATATTTTGGGAAAAACGTGCCAAACAACATTTGAAAAATAGGATTGATAATATGGATAAAAACAATAAACCAAACGCATCCATTATTATTATTTTTTTCATATATCATATGTATTGAAAGTGTCCTTAAACATGTCTTTAGGGCATTCTTTAAGACAATCTAATAAGTACTAATTAAATTTTATTTTATTTTTGGTATGGTGGGTAATTGGTGGCCAGCCGTTGCCCTTATTATAAACTTAAACTCAAGACCTTCCTAGTTTTTTAACTCTTCAATCCACCGTTCACTCTATCATGCCACAAGGTTGGTTAGTACTTATCAAATTGTCCTTATCTGTTTTTAACCTAAAACCTAATATTATGGGATTTTTATTTTCAGATAATTTAAGAGGATTTTTGTTAAATATATCATAGGGGATTAAGTGATTAACTCTTAATTCATTTAATTTAATTTTTTAATAATAATGAATTTATTTTTGAAATAATATAATAATAATAAATACATAAAAGAGAAGCTTCCCAAACACCTCACAAAAAAAATAAGAGCCGGTTTACAAGCTTCGTGAATTGAATGCGACCCAAAGCCACCGTTTTCTCTCTCTCTCTCTCTCTCACAGAAACTCTAGTTTAAATATGATTCTCACTTGTTTTCTTTTTTTCTCACCATCACGCCTTCTCCAATTCCAACTTTCTTCTCATCTAACACTCCTCCAACTACAAAACCCACCTCTTCAAATTTCTGTTTAACGTCCACAACGTTTAAAGTTTGTGTTTTTTTTTTTTCTTTTTTTCAGTTATATTATTTCCTCATCATAACCCAGGTAGGCACATGTACTTATCTGTTTTCTTTTCTTTTCCTTCTTGTTTTTTCTGCATTGGTTGCTTCGCTTGATCCATAGATTTTAGCTTTTCCTTTGCAAGTTGTTTGTTTTTTTTTCAAGACATTAGCTTTTAGACATTCAACATAACTATAAATTTTGTTGCTTGGTTTTGGTTATATATTATATCTCTTTGTGGGAAATTTATTTGGGGATTCAACTGCTCGGTTGGCATCCGGGTTTGTGATTTTTTAGTGTATTCTGATGTTATAAGTTTCGAGTTGATTCTTTGGATATGGGGTTTTTATTTTTTTAATGTGTCCGTGTCTCTTAAAGCTTGTACATTTATGATTATCGGTAGATCCAGGATGTATGTGTTCTTTTGATTTGATATTTTGTATCTCCATGTTGTATTGATCAGGGTGAATCTTGTATTGGAGGCATAGATTCTCCATGGTGAGCTTTTTATTATTGTTTTCTATTACCTTCTTATTGGAATCTAATTAAAAAAAAAAAAAAAAGATGGAGAATAGAACAAGTTTAACTTTATTAGGGTTATTAGCAGGTTGCTATTCTTTTGTTTTCTTTTTGTTGATCTTGTTTGTGTTGTGTTGTTTTTGGTGATTAGGGTGAAGCTCCGGCTTTCATTGTGGATGATCTGCAGAATGGGAACGGATTTCCAATTTCAAATGGCTTTGGTTTGAAGTCCAAAGCCGGTGAAACAACCACTATCATTGGTGATAAAACAGTATGAAATTGTTAACTTGATCTTTTATTAAAGTCTCTCTTTGTTCGTTAGTTGCTTACTGTGTCAGTCAGTCTTATTGTTCAAAATTGTTTGAACAATTTCTTGACAGTACCTTATTGCTGGGAGTGATGAATCTATTGGAGTTAAGATTTACGACAAATCGACAGGAAAATGGTGTGCTGTAGCTCCGGTTATGTAGTTGCTTCATCTGGATTCTAGTTTAGTATTTTATTGTACTGATTTCAGGTAATATTTGCAGGACGATTCCTACTGTGTTGGGAAAAGAACCCAAACCCTGTAAAGGCCATTCAGCTGTTGCTATAAATGAAGATCGAATATTGGTTATTAAGAAGGGGGCCACTCCAGATGACTGCATTTGGTTTCTTGAGGTTAGTATTTGGAGCAATAAGACGCTCTTGACTTGTTATTTTGTAATTTTTCTTTCGCGAAAGTGTTTGATTTGGTTATATATTGTTAGGTGGACACCCAATATGTTCGGGAGCAGAAAACAGTTGAAACTGAGATTGTTGCCTGGAGTAAAGGGGTGATAGGCAATGCCCAGAAGCCAGTTGTTATTAGTGGTCCTTCTGGGGTTGGTAAGGGTACATTGATATCCTTGCTCATGAAGGAATTTCCATCCATGTTTGGATTCTCTGTGAGCCACACAACTCGTAAACCACGGGACATGGAAAAGGATGGGGTGCATTACCACTTCACTGAGCGTAGTGTTATGGAGAAAGAGATAAAAGATGGGAAGTTCCTTGAGTTTGCCTCAGTTCATGGAAATCTTTATGGAACCAGTATTGAAGCTGTTGAGGTGGTAGCAGATGATGGAAAGGTAAGCAAAAGCTGCAAAACATCCGTGATATTTATGATAATTAAGCATGCAAATTTAATGATTATGTGAATGTTAAAACATGGGTGCATGAGGTCATTGTCTCAAGGTATCCATATTGTTTTCTTCTTGGACGAGATGAAGTGGAACAGCCAATCGTTTTAACTCCGCAATCACAGCATGCATATGTCTTTTAGATACGGGCACAATTTTGGCCAGATTATGACTGATACAAACTAAAAAGGAAAAAAGAAATCATGCATTTGGAGGATTATATTGCTTCACAAGTACTGTAGAGAAATCAAAAACCTTTGATGATAGCATAGATTTTAACCTTTTTATCACCTGCACACGGTTAATGTTAAAAAAATACTCATTGTGCTTGCAGACTTCAATATTTTTCTCTTTATTTTCTTGGTTTCAATGTAGAGATGCATTCTTGACATTGATGTTCAAGGGGCGAGATCGGTGAGGGCTAGTTCTCTTGAAGCTATTTTCATCTTTATCTGTCCACCATCAATGGGGCAGTTAGAGGAGCGCCTTCGTGCAAGGTAATTAGAGCTATCTATTTGATCTATATCATCTCAATCATTTCCAGGACTTGTGTTGTAATTTACTTTTTGTGAACAGGGGAACTGAGACAGAAGAACAAATCCTAAAACGACTTTGCAATGCCAAGGCAGAGATTGAGCAAGGGACATCCTCTGGAATCTTTGATCATATTTTGTATAATGATAAACTTGATGAGTGTTACAAGACCCTTAAGGTAATTCTGAGCTCCCTCACATCAAGTACATGTGTTTGCAAATCTTAGATCGGTAGCTAAGTGTGCTACTGTTTGCTTTCATGTCCTGATCTGAAAACTCTGATTTGGTGTAGAAACTATTGGGTCTTGATGGAAGTACAGTTGCAAACAGTCAAACAGGTAAGAAAGCCCCGGAAATTCATCAATCTTGGAACTTCTGGTAAACTATTAATATCTTTTTATGCTGGAAAAAGAATCTAAATTTTTGTTTAAGTTGTGATTCCAGCACCCAGAGGGATTGATTTGCCAGTGGACCATTCGGTATCAAAAATTGATAATAAAATCCTCATAAATTGTGGGACTCCAGGATCAGGAGAAGCATCAAAGAACTTGTAAATTCCTTTTTTCTTTTAATGAATATTTGTCGGTGCAATACAATGACAAAGACTGATCTAACTGCTATTAATTGATATGTGGTGCAGGATTGTATTGGATGTATCCTCTCTTAAAGAAGGAGCACCTGGACGGACTAGAGGGCTTGATGTTTACACTGTCTATTCATTTTCAGATGGCCTGAATGGGATCAATAAGTTGAGCTAACGGTTCTCAAAGCCGTTGATACTAACATGGGTTTTCATTTAAAATTTTTCTCTAAGCTCTTTTTATACAACTTAGAAAGGGGAGTCTTGATGAAGCTCTAGTTGTGATTTCGTAAGACTGTGCCACAAGTTATTATCATTTATTTTTTCGTCTCAGCATTCTTTGCTTGTTTTATAACGGAAACCGACTTCTAGTGTCTTAACAATTACTATTCCCTGCATGGGTAATGAGAGATGATTCATGATTTATGCGGCAAGAATTACTGCAGTCTAAAGTTTCAGGTTGAACATTGAGATTCAAAAGGGGAGGTGAGAATATGTACTATGTAACATATTGAAAATGTATTATCAAAATAAAGTTAAGTTAGACAGCGAGTTCTTCTATCATATTTTAACCTTGTTTGAGCCTAAACATCAACTCGAGGTGAAAATTTTAACATAACTCTAGGTTAATAAGTCGAATATTCGATTCAATTTCATGGTTCCCTTTATTCTTCAGAAGCATGCCTTCATTCTGGGGAATTTCATTGATTTGTAAGAGATTTAGTCCTCCTAAAGTCATCAGAAATTGTTGCTTGTAGCCTGTTTTGTTACTAGACTGTCTTCTAATACAACCAAACTTGAATGAAAATGATGTGTAAGCTACAAAAAAGATATTCTTATAATAGTAATGGGTAGCCGTTAATGCAGTTTTCTGTTGTGAACCCACCAGTCAAGAAAAATCCCAGATTGGCATGAAATTGTTAGTATTGTTAACACAATGTCCAAAGCTCACAATGTCTTCCTTTTGTTGAGAAGGGTAGGGCTTAAACTCAAATGGGACGATTCGTAAATCTCTAAATTGTGATGGAGACATGCGGCTGCAATTATAATTGTGTGTTTTGGTGGTTTGGTCAAGTGGGGCGAAAGGAAAGTGCCACATAAAAGATTGCTATAAATATTATAGTTTATGAGGCTAGTATTATGTTGACGGATAAGCCAAACCTCGGGTGGCATGGGGCATGCCGTCTTGGGGATTCTCTGCAGGGTAATTGAAGTGAGAAGGTTCTTAAGTCTTTCCTTGACAATGCAATGGCATGTGCAACTTGTAAATCTTTAACCCAATTTTCTTCAAACGAGGGACCCAGAAGTCAGAAGAAAATAAACAGACAGACAAGTGGGTTTGGTCTTTTTCTTTAGTCTTTTGTAGGACCCTTTTCTTTCACATGATCAACACGTTAGGACCTGACGGCTTTGAATCAGTAAGGGTCTGTTTCGGCCGTTGATGAATGAAGAATGATTCAAAATGTGCATTTACCAGATTTTTACATAACTAAATCCTGAAACCCTCTGTTAAAGATACCTAAAGTATAGGCTAATTTTGGGATGTACCCTCAAATTTTTTAAAAATTATTAGACAGTTGCCAAGTTTTGGTGTTTTCATAAAAAACTAGCCTTAAATGTAATGAACTATACTTAACCATAAGGTTATTCAGAGACTGAAATTAACATACTTGCAATGATACATATGAACCAACAGTGCAGCGTGTTTTGCTAAATTCACGTTCTAAGTATCTTGATTGTTAAGTATAGTTCCTCTCATATATATAAATAGGGCCAAAAAAGCTATTTCAATGTGAATTTTTGAAGTGCCCGTAAGTTTTTAAAAACTATCAGACAGATACTAAGTTTTGGCGTTTTCATTTAAAACGACTCTTGAAGTTTTAAATATTAGTCAAAGAACATTCCTTGAACTTATATCATTTCTTTTTTCTTGATAAGCTTGTATGAAAAAGCTTTTCTTACCTAATTTTGTACATATGATGAACTATACTTAACAATAAGATGTTTGGAGATTGAAACTGACATACTTGCATTTAGGGGTGGCAAACAAGCAAAGCCACTCATTGACTCGACAAAAGCTTGAGCTCGACCAGCTCGACAAAGTAGTCAAGCCCAGGGCTGCAAACGAACTGAGATGTTCGCGAACAGCTCGATATTCATTTGATAACTGTTCAACTCGACTTGATAAGAAATTGTTCGCGAGCAGTTCGATGTTCGTTCGATAATATGTTCGATTCGAATTCGAATATAGGATGTTCGTTCGATTATATTCGCGAACATAATACGTTCGACTGACTGATCCATCTGTTTGCAAACAATCTATTCGATTATTCATTCGTTTATGTTCGAAAAACATGGTATACATTATTCTATATATTTATAATTTTTCTTTTTTATATTATGCTTGGTTTAGTTTGAATGAATTTTTTTAATGGTAATCAATAATAAAATATTATGATGTTTTTGTTTTTCTTATATATATAATATGTTTGGATTTTTTTTTTCAAATGTCATCAATAATTAAGGCTTCGCTTGGTTCATTTTTTTGCATTTTTTAGAAAAGTTTTTTGAAAAAAGTTAAAAAAAGTTGAATTGGGTGGGTATTATGATGTAGGATTTAAAAATTAATAAAAATACCCCCTATGTTTTTTTATTTACTAAACACCCCTATAATAAAACTTTAAAACATAGCTGGCCACCACCGCCAAAGGGTGGTCGGAGTCGCCGTATCGGCGCATGACCGGCTGGATCTTGCCGATTGTGCGTCGATATGGCCTTTCCCATGGATCTGGCCGACAAAGGCCAGATCTACAGCTAGATCTGGCCATTGACGGCCAGATCTGGCCGCATTTGCTGGTCAACGATGGCCAACATACGGCCGTCGTTGATGGTCAACGACCACCATATGTTGGCCGTCGTTGACGATTGGCTACGGCCAAAGATCTAGCCTTTTCCGGCCAGATCCATCGTGGATCTGGCCGGAAAAGGCTAGATCAGCGCATAAATGAACATTATATTTAGGGGCAGTGGTGGCCGGAAGTGCGCTATTATACCAGATTCCGGCCATCTTTCGGCAGTGGTGGCCAGAATCTGGTATAATGTGGGTTTAGAGGTGTTTTTGCAATTTCAAAAAAAAACATTTAGGGGTTTTTAATTAAATTAACAAATTTAAGGGGTTTAAAAAAAGTTGAATAATATTGGATAATATTGTGAGTTTTTGCAATTTTACTGTTTAACTTTTTTGGGAATACTAATAATAGTATTCCCAAAAACGAAACAAATGGAGCCTAAATATATAACTATATAGCATTTTAATTAAAAAATAATAAATTATTATGACACATAGCATGACAAATTTAATAAAATAATAGATTGTATAATCAAGTAATATATAACATAGTATATCTAATAACATAATAGCTTCATATTTTTCTAAATGTAATCAATAATTAAATATTATGAGATAGCATTTCAATTAATAAATAATAAATATAGTATGGTAAATTGATGAATATAACATATTGTATAATCAAGTGATGTATAGTATGACAAATTTAATAACATAATAACTTAATTAAATATAGTATGGTAAATTGATGAATATAACATATAATATAATCAAGTGATATATAACATGACAATTTTAATAATATAACAACTTAATTAAATATAATATGACAAATTTATGAACATAACATATTGCATAATCAAGTGATATATAGCATGACAAATTTAATAACATAATAGCTTAATTAAACCTAAATTAATTACACATTTTATTGATCATATATTACAATAGACCCTTATACTATTATGAATTTATGGGTGTTGATACAAAATATATATGTAGACAGTAATGATAATATATATATGATAACCTATAATTTTGATAATTTAATAACATATTAAAAATATTTAATCTATGGTTAATATACGTATGATAATAATTTTGTATATACACACACACACACACACACACATATATATAACAAATTAATCACACATATGTATTGATCATATATTANTGCTTGGTTTAGTTTGGATGAATTTTTTTAATGGTAATCAATAATAAAATATTATGATGTTTTTGTTTTTCTTATATATATAATATGTTTGGATTTTTTTTTTTTCAAATGTCATCAATAATTAAATATATAACTATATAGTATTTTAATTATAAAATAATAAATTATTATGATACATAACATGACAAATTTGATAAAATAATAGATTGTATAATCAAGTAATATATAACATAGTATATCTAATAACATAATAATTTCATATTTTTCTAAATGTAATCAATAATTAAATATTATGAGATAGTATTTCAATTAATAAATAATAATTATAGTATGGTAAATTGATGAATATAATATATTGTATAATCAAGTAATGTATAGCATGACAAATTTAATAACATAATAACTTAATTAAATATAGTATGGTAAATTGATGAATATAATATATAATATAATCAAGTGATATATAACATGACAATTTTAATAATATAACAACTTAATTAAATATAATATGACAAATTTATAAACATAACATATTGTATAATCAAGTGATATATAACATGACAAATTTAATAACATAATAGCTTAATTAAACCTAAATTAATCACACATTTTATTAATCATATATTACAATAGATCCTCATACCATTATGAATTTATGGATGTTGATACAAAATATATATGTAGACAGTAATGATAATATATATATGATAACCTATAATTTTGATAATTTAATAACATATTAAACATATTTAATCTATGGTTAATATACGTATGATAATAATTTTGTATATACACAATTACACACACATACACACACACACACACACATAACAAATTAATCACACATATGTATTGATCATATATTACAATAGACTCTCATACCACTATGAATTTATAGGTGTTGATACAAAATATATATGTAGACAATAATGATAATATATTATGATAACCTAAATTTTGATAATTTAATAACATATTAAACATTTTTAATCTATGATTAATATATGTATGATAATAATTTTGTATATATCTATATTATAGATAACAAATTAATCACACATATGTATTGATCATATATTATAATAAACCCTCATTTCACTATAGATTTATGAATGTTGATACAAAATATATATGTAGACACTTAAAGTATTTATGATAATTTATGTAATGATAATATATATATAACCTCTAATTTTGTAAAGTCTAAAAGTAGTGACTAAACGGTGAGTTTTGTATTTGTCTATAAAAGAACAGTTTG